ACCTGTGTAGTGGAGGAGAGGATCCTGGAGGTTGAGTGGTGTCTGGGGCACTGCAACACACCCCTTTGGCCTTGAATTCCTGTAGACGGGTGGCCTTGGGGTGGCCCACCTAGGGTCAGTCAGCTGGTCCACTGGGGCTAGGGTCAACTGAGTACCAGTGTTGGGCATTCTCAATGGGTGTTGTGGACATCGTGTCTGATGCTGGTGTTTGGGTATAGTGCTCACGAAACCATGGCATTGCTGCAGTGTCCTTGTTTGACATTGTAGTGCGTCCCCTCATAGGACTCCATGGCGGGTGGGGTCAGTTAGCACTGAATCTCTCTCTTTAATTATGGATCCCCCCATTCCAAATAAAAAAAATGCTAAAAATATGCTTATTGGTAAACGACCATGCCTAGAAGACTCTGAACAGCAGTCTCCATCACACAGTACACCTGTACCTCGCTTTTTAATCATATATTCACTATCAGATAAATCTTTAGGGCAAATGTCCCCTTTTTTTATTCAGAAGGGCTTAGAGGGGCTTGCTGGCTCTCCAAAGTCAGTTAAGCTACGATCTGGAGACATCTTAGTAGAAACTTCCCATCCTAAGCACAGTGAACTTCTCTTGAATTCAAAGGCCATTGGGGATATACCCATTGAGGTTACTCCCCACGCTTCCTTGAATTACTCACGAGGAGTTATTGTTAAGAGGGATTTAAAATCTATCTCCGACATGGAGATCCTTGCTGGTTTCTCCAATCACGGAGTTTCGGCAGTTCGAAGGATCTCCACTCGTCAAGATGGAATTATGGTGCCGACCTCAGTTTTAATTTTGATGTTTTCATCACCACGTCCACCTGCCGCCATTAAGGCAGGTTATTTGAACTGTAAGGTACGGCCCTATATTCCCAATCCTCTCCGATGTTTTCAGTGTCAGCAGATCGGTCGCTCAAAGACATCTTGTCGTGGTTCTGTGATGTGTGCTCATTGTGGTGGCAAGGACCATGACTCCTACGAGTGCAAAATGGACCCTCACTGTGTTAATTGTAGTGGTTCCCACCCCTCCTACTGCCCTAAGTGGGTGGAGGAGAAAGAGGTACAGCGTTTGAAGACTCTAAATAACATCTCTTATCCTGAGGCTCGGAAGCTATTGTTCCCTCCTACATCGTGGACATATGCCTCTGCACTATGCTCCACTGCTACGGTGGGAGTGCAGCCAGACCTCTCCGTGCCTCCATCTGAGTCTTTTTCATGCCATGTGCAGGGTCTTCTGCCCTCCATGGATAATAGAGTTGATCAATCTACATCTACTCCAATCTCTGTCCCCACTGTTCCTTCCAGTGACTGCTTGGGTCAACCTCCTCGGGCACCATCCTCTGGTGTCCGTGCGGGTCCTTCTTTGGCCCCTAAGTGCAGGACGATTATTCAATCATGTCCTCAGTCATTGGATTCTCACTCTGATGACAGAGATCTGCCCACTCGTTCAAGGGCAAGATCCATGGAGGTCGGTTGACCTCCATCTAGTAAAGAAAAATGGCATGGTCGTAAACCAAAGGGTTCTCCACCCTCTTCTCCTAAACATACATAAAAAATGGCCACTTTAATACAGTGGAACTGTCGAGGTTTTTGTTCGAATCTCGATGACATTAAGGCCTTGATTGACTCCTATCATCCCGCGTGTCTCTCCTTACAGGAAACATTTCTGAAACCTGCTGATACAGTCACCCTTTGGCAGTTTTCCTTGTACCAGAATGACAGGTTGTGTGATGGAGGGGTAGCACTGCTGGTCGACCAGCATGTGCCCTCCTTATCCATGTCCCTCGTTACACCCTTCGAGGCCGTAGCCATATGTGTTTCCTTGGGTTGTGCCATCACTGTTTGTTCCCTCTACCTGTCTTCTGGGGAGACTTATGATCAATCGAACCTTGACGCTCTCGTTGACCAGTTGCCACCTCCCTTTTTACTTTTGGGAGACTTAACTGGACACAACCCCCTCTGGGGTGGTGCTGATATTGATGGGAGGGGTCGTTCCATAGAGCGCATGCTCTCGCATCACAACCTTTCTCTCTTCAATACTGGAACATACACTTACTTTCATGCACCTAGTCAGTCTTTTACTGCCATTGGTCTCTCAGTTTGCTCCTCTGCACTTTTCACTCGTTTTTCTTGGATAGTCGACAGCAATCCTCGGGGCAGTGATCATTTTCCCATCATACTGAGAGAGGTTGGCC